GATCTTATAACCCTGAGAACATGAACTGAGCTGAAATCAAGATTCAGATGTTTAACCGACTGAGTCACCCAGGCACCCATATCTATCTATCTATCTATCTATCTATCTATCTATCTATCTATCTATCTATCTATCTATCATCTATTTACTTAATTTACTTTAAGTAGGTTCCACACCTGGCGTGGAGCCCAACATGGGGCTTGAACTCACAACCCTGAGATCAAGACCTGAGCTGAGATCAAGAGTCAGACATTTAACTGACTAAGCCACCCAGGCACCCTCCAGTTAATTTTAAAAATTACCATTCCACATAGTTAATATCAAACTTTCAATAAAAGTCAAATATGGACTCAGTCTTTGTGTTCATGGTATTGTGGGAAATTGAGGGGTGGGCAATGAATGTAAGCGTGGCTTTTGTGCATACCTCTCTATTCACATAAGCAACATATCCATTGAGTTCTCAGAGGTCACCAGCATCAAAAAGAGCAGGGGTCCTTGGTGAAGCTACCCCAGGAGAATGTTACATCTCTGAATCGGCAGAAATCCTGGGGCAGGTACTACCCTTTCCACATCAGTGGTCAGTGGGATGATGCTGAAATGTTGAGAAGGACACTTTGAGATATCTGGAGGACTTGGAAGCACCCAGATGGCTGATACCTGGGGTATAGAAAAGCAGACTTTGGGGTGGAAAGTAGGGAAAGTGGACAGAGCTGTCTTCAACTTGGAAAGTGAGAGAGAGCAGAAAGGACATTGAAACAGCAAAGAAGAATTGGGGACAGAATTGCCCATGAAGAAATCTTACTTTTTTCTACTTACTAACTAAAGCTATTCAAAATCTCTTAATTTACAGAACTTTTGTTTTTATTTGAAATAGTAATTAAGGATTTTGATAGTGTATCTTTTTAGTTGGATTTTCCCCAATATCATTTGCATTGCACCCTCACTGGAAATTTATATGGATTTATATGTGTTAGCTGATTGCCTTTGTGGGAGGCAGTGTCGTGGTTAAGTGCTCAGACTGAGGCAATTGGCTGAGTTGAATCCCAGCACAACAGCCCAGCTCACCACTTCTTGGCTGGGTGACTTTAGCTACTGGCTTAATCACTCTACATACTTACTTTTTAAAATTGGGATTAATAATAGTGTCTGTCTTATAAAGTTGCTGTGAGGATCAAGGGTGTTAATACAAGAAAAGCATATAGAATGGTGCCTGGCACATAGTAAGGAAGGTCTAAGTGTTAGCTACTGTTACTAACCTTGTTTCTATTAGCTATAGTACTGAGGCACTATATTCCTTTTTTTTTTTTAAGATTTTATTTATTTATTTGACAGAGAGAGACAGTGAGAGCAGGAACACAAGCAGGGGGAGTAGGAGAGGGAGAAGCAGGCTCCCCGTGGAGCAGGGAGCCCGATGTGGGGCTCGATCCCAGGACCCTGAGATCATGACCTGAGCTGAAGGCAGACGCTTAACGACTGAGCCACCCAGGCGCCCCATGAGGCACTACATTCCTTGAAGGCACTACTTATAATATGTGTTAGGAATACAACATATTCCATTTTGACTACTAAAGGTAATATGTGCATAAGGTAAAAAAAAATTTCCAACAGTATACTTGCACAGTCCAATATCATAGCCGCTAGCCACATGTGACTACTGAAATTAACTAAATTAATAAAATTAAAAATTTAGTTCCTGAGGCTCCTGGCTGGTTCAGTCAGTATAGCCTGGGAGTTCAAGCCCCAGGTTGGGCTTAGAGCTTACTTTAAAAAAATAAAAATTCAGTTCCTCAGTTGTACCAGCTACATTTCAAACACACGACAGCCACATGTGGCTATTAGGTATGAAACTGAACAATGCAGATGCACAACATTTCCATCATTGCAAAATGTTCTGTTAGAGCTTGGTAGATAGTTAAACCTCTCAACCATTCCTACCCCAATCCCTCTCCCGAGGGGCAATCACTTGTATAGCTTTTCATGCTTCACACACACACATAATTTTTTACACAAATGTTACCGTATCATTTTTTAAAGGATTTTATTTATTTATTTGACAGAGAGTACATGAGCAGGGGGAGCAGCAGGCAGAGGGAGAGGGAGAAGCAGGCTCCCTGCTGAGCAAGGAGCCTGACCACCTTTTTGCACTGAAGACATCTCAAGAATTCTTTCTTGACCATTTGCTCCAAACCCCAATAGGTCCTCATCATCTCTCATTTATTCCTGCTCTTTCAGGTGACTCTGAGAATAGTAAAGATCCCAGCCAGTACCTCACACCGACCTGGTACATTTGCAAAACCCGCTTAGGAGAATTAACCACATCTGAGGCAAACAGATAATGTGCTAAGAGTTTTATCTTCTTCTGGATTTCTCCAGCATCATTTGGTTCCTCACCAAGGTGAAGTTTGTAGGGGGAAGGAAAAATAATTTTCCTTCTACTCTTCTAGGTTCTTGGCTGAGACACACCCGTAATAAAAAGACAGATTAACAGAAGAAAAACAGAATTTAATAACATGTATACCTCCTGTATACCCGGGAGATACCAAGGAAAACTGAGTAACTCCCCCAAATGGCCTAAGCCATCCCCTCAAATAACAGCTCCAGCTAAAGACTAGAAGATGTTGGGGGATGGGGAGGCCAGTTATGAGAAGTTACCCTGAAAAGCCCAGTAAACAAGGGTAAAGTGGTTATGCAGATTTAAATCCATGCCTTCTCCACTGATAAAGTTCTAGAGATTTAGAGTCAGATTTAGTTTCCCTGGTACACAGAGAGACACCTTTACAAATGGAGATGTCCCTTATAAATGTAAATTGTTCTGATAAAAGAGCAACTGTTACTTGGTTTTTAGAACTTCTATCTGCAGTTTCTTAAAAATAATCAGCTCAAGGTAATCTTTATGTCAAAGAGCCATATTTTGGGGTGACATATTTTGCTCCCGTACATTTGCATCTTTGAGACTTGAGTCTCTCCATGTGTTGTCAAGGGGCAGATTGTGGACAGTTTGTCCTAAATCCAATGGTTGTATATGGCATTGATTTGAACAGTGACTTTTCAAAGAAACAACATGATTCAGGAAGCCAAGAAACAACAGCACTTCAGAATTCATGGCACCAACGGAATGATTATTACTTAAGCCACCATTAATAGGGATGGCATACACTAAGGAGTTGAGCTACTGGGGGGATAGCTGGGGTGGATATGGTTTCCCGACTCTTCTTTGTGGTGTGGGGAGGAAAAAGTTTTCCTCTACCTTCTTTGGGTCCCTGGCTGGGTCTGAAAATTAAACTGATAAAGACAGAGTAACAGGAGAAAAGGATATAAATTGATTTAATACAAGTTTTATGTGACACGAGAACTTTCATAAGGAAATAAAGACCTGAAGAAACAGACCTCCAGCTATAGGGAAGGCACTTCTCTCAGGAGGATTTTGTGACCAGTTTCAAGGAAGAAGGGCAAGGGAGGGAGATCAGAATGACCTTCCTGCTCCTGCTGTTTTCTCAGACTCCTTCAGCTTAAAATACTCACTCTGCCAAGGTGCCACTTTTGGGATAGTGTGTCCTGAATCCCATCAGTGTTTTGGAGCTTTCCTAATGTCATTACCAATGCAACTATTTCAATGAAGGCAAGTCACAGGAAGAAAGTAATGCAAAAATTTTTTAAGATTTTATTTATTTGAGAGAGAGAGAGAGCACAAGCGGGGGGAGTGGCAGAGGGAGAGAGAGAAGCATATTCCTCTGCTGAGCAGGGAGCCCGATGCAGGACTGGATCCCAGGACCCTGGGATCATGACCTGAGCTGAAGGCAGATGCTTAAGCAACTGAGCCACCCAGGTGCCCCTAATATTACCATAGCATTACATTGTCCTGCATCTACATGTTGTTTAAAAATATACTAATATATACTACTAATAATATACTAAAAACTAATGTAGTCAGCTTTCTACATTTAATTAACAGTTTAACAATTTAGAGCACGTGATATTAGGCTTACAAAGCAACTGTGCAGACTTCAAAGCACAATTCAAATATAATATGCATCTCGTTATATTTGGGAGCAAGTGCAAGTAATGGACTACTTCAATTTCCTTTCTGCATTGCAGATGCGGAACCCACACTAAGGCTGGGTTAACTGAAGTCACGACCTGACCATCTCCCCTCCCCGCCAGGATGGCCGGGAGGCCTTCAGCCTCCGTCCCTGCCCCCCCTAGACGTCCAGCGCGACGGAAACCCCCTGCATAAATGCTGGGGTGGGGGTCACTGACGCACGTCTCCAACTCAGTTGCGAGGCCCGCCCACAGGCGACGAGCGAGGGAATAGCCAGCCGTCAGACCACTCCCAGGCGGCGGAGACTGGAGCCCCGCGGTCAGTGCGCGCGGCGCCCCACGGGAGCCCGGATCCGCGCCGTCCGTCCGAGGAGCGCGGCGCCCCCTGTCGTCCGCCCGAGGAGCGCGCCGCTGGCTCGCGGGGAGCCGGGAACATGGCGGGGCGGCCTGTGGCCCCGGCCTCGCAGCCGCCGGACCGGGATGCAGCGGCGCCCAATGTGGTGGCGCGGGTCTCGCAGTGGGCGGACGACCACCTGCGCCTCGTCCGGGTACCGGAGACCCGCTGGCCGGGCAGGCGGTTGGCCTGGGGCCGCGCGGAGCGAGCCTGAGGGAGACGGGCTGCGGGAAGCCCCGCGCAGTGGAACCGCTGGGGCCCGGGCGGGGCGGAGGCCCTTGTCGCAGGGCCTTGTCGCAGGGCCTTGTCGCAGGGGTCAGCGAGTGAGGGGCGGCGGTGGGAGGAGCGCGGCCGGGCTGGGCTCGCCGCGTGAGATGGGCGCGGCGGTCCAAGCAGGCCAGCTCTGCCTCGTTACCGCCAGGACCGTGGTGGGTCCCGGGGACACCTCGGAGACTGAGACGCAGCACAGCTTGGGGCGTCAGCGGCCCCCGAGAGCAGTTGGGGACGGCGAGGCACAGAAGACCGGGGGGGGGGGGGGGGCACGTGGTCCTGTAGGCCTTATGTTTTTTTTTTTTTTTAAGATTTATTTATTTATTTGAGAGAGCGAGAATGAGAGAGAGAGAGAGAGCACATGAGAGCGGGGAGGGTCAGAGGGAGAAGCAGGCTCCCCGCTGAGCAGGGAGCCCGATGCGGGACTCGATCCCGGGACTCCAGGATCATGACCTGAGCCGAAGGCAGTCGCTCAACCGACTGAGCCACCCAGGCGCCCTTTTTTAAAGATTTTATTTATTTTTATTTGAGAGAGAGAGAATGAGAGACAGAGAGCACGAGAGGGGAGAGGGTCAGAGGGAGAAGCAGACTCCCTGCCGCGCAGGGAGCCCGATGCGGGACTCGATCCCGGGACTCCAGGATCATGACCTGAGCCGAAGGCAGTCGCTTAACCAACTGAGCCACCCAGGTGCCCCTGTTTTGTTTTTTTTTTTAAGATTTTTATTTATTTATTTGAGATAGAGAGAATGAGAGACAGAGAGCATGAGAGGGAGGAGGGTCAGAGGGAGAAGCAGACTCCCCGCCGAGCAGGGAGCCCGATGCGGGACTCGATCCCGGGACTCCAGGATCATGACCTGAGCCGAAGGCAGTCGCTCAACCAACTGAGCCACCCAGGCGCCCCTGTAGGCCTTATGTTTTGAATGAAGTGAGAGAGCACTGGAGTTCGACCAAGAGTGGGACATCTTAGGTGACCAGGCGAGACAGATTGTGGCTAATCCCCCGGGGGTGGTGTGGTTGATTTGGGGTGGGGTGCAAAGAAAGAGGAGTCAAGGGGGCTGCCCACTGGGTGGATGGTGGTCAAAGTCGCTTCTGTGGAGGAGTTAGGGGTCAGCGATTTGTTGGGAAAATCTAGAGGACTCTTTGGACATGGGAACTTGAAGGTGGAGATATGTGAACTTGAAGATGGTCACTAAAATTCTAAAGAGAGTTGTAGATGTTATCTAGGCAACCAGATATAGGAATCTGACCTTGAAGGGAGATTGTAACTGGACATAGAACTTTAGGAGTGAACTGCATAAAGCTCCAGTAGTGTTTAAAGCTTGGATGGCATCATGGAACAAGTCAGAAAAGTTACTGAAGAAGTCCTAGAATTGAGACCTGGGACCTGAGGGATTCTCTTAACATGAATTTGGGAAATGAAAAGTCAGCAAAGACTGGGAAGAAACAGGGAAGGAGGAGGAGGAAAATCAGGAAAACCAGGTGTCCTAGAAGCCAAGTGAAGAGAATATTTTCAGAGAGAATGATTAACTTTGTTAAATTCTTCTGAGAAGTTGAGTACGACCATGAGCTTTGCAAATGCTCTGCAGCCATGCAGCACAAGGCCTGGGATCCTGCTGTTTCCTTCACCAGTACAGCTCTCATCCCTAGAATATTGCCTACCACTTAGCAAGGGCTAGATACGCACTGGTGGCATTAATGAATGGTAGATACACACGTGTTATTTGACAAGGCCTGGGTTCTTCCAGTGAAGCAGAAATTGGTGCATGGCTTATTTCAAATTAAAAAAATGACTTCAGTAGATTGAGAGAGGAAACGGTGTTTAAATTGGTACATGGAGGGATGCCTGGGTGGCTCAGTCGGTTAAGCGTCTACCTTCTGCTCAGGTCTTGATCCCAGGGTCCTGCTGCTCTGCCTACTTGTGCTCTCTCTTTCTCTCTATCAAATAAATAAATAAAATATTTTTAAAAAATTTTTTAAAAATAGAATAAATTGGCACATGGATACATTATTCCAAATATCCCAATCACAGGATGTATCCTTGTGTATATTTCCTTTTTTTTTTCTACAAATGGGAAATCCACAGAACAAACAAAAGGCATTATGTGTTGGTAATTATAAAATTTTCACTGCCTTGTTTTATGTTTGCCTGATGTTTAGAGCAAGATCAGAGTTGGATCTAAGTGGCTTCACTTGAACACTAAGAGCAATCTTAGCATCTTCATTTCTTTCCTTGTTTATATTTTCAGCTTCATTTCTTACATACCTAGTTGTATTTATTGAAGGAAAACATGTTAGATTATCACTCTTGTTGAGGGAGTCGCAGGTTCTTATTTTTAAATTAAACTCTTTTAAGTCTATTTCAGTTTTTATTTTATTTTATTTTATTTATTTATTTGACAGGGAGAGAGAGAGCACAAGCACGGGGAACAGCAGGGAGAGGGAGAAGCAGGCTCCCCGCTGAGCAGAGAGCCCGATGTGGGGCTGGATCCCAGGACCCTGGGATCAGGACCTGAGCTGTCCCAATCTATTCCAGTTTAAATGAAGCACTTTAAAAACATTGATAAGTTCTCCCCAACTGTTTACCCACATATACATCCATTATATTTTAAGGTTTTGATGGTAAAGTTTTCTACCAAATATTTACATTCCCACTGTAGACTCAGGGTTATGCAAGTTACTGTGGGCATTGTTGAAGTATTAGACCAATTCATGCATTTAAGGAATTCATGGTTAAAAGGAACAGTCAATAGAGAACAATACAATGTTACATATATAATTACTGTGCATGCCAGATTGGGAGAAAAGAGGGAAGATTAATGAAGAGGTAGGCAGTTAAAGTTTGTTGGGAGAAATGGGCCTTTAGTTGAAGGATGTGCCTTATTTGGACACTTAGGGAGGTCAGTCTTTTTTTTCCCCTTCCAGTTAGTACTTTAACTATCATGAATAATAACTAGTGAGAATTAATCATTTAATCTCTTTCTGAAGAACATCAGCACCGTAATGGCCATAGCTGGAACAATGTTACTTCTAAGAAGTGTTCGGATGGTAAGTTAAAAAATGAAGAAGGCACAATGAAAAGCAAGAGACAGTTAATTTTTTCTCACTTCAAGACCGTTTTCTTTCAAGCAGTGTATCATTTTGTTATTCATATTAGAAGCTTTAAATATTATTCTAGAACAACAAACCTATTTTAAGATCTTGGTTTAAAAGCAACACATCCACAGGAAAGTGATTACCCAGTCTGTATTTCCATAATCACTTTTCTTTGTGCTTAAAAAGGCATCTGTAAAGGATTTAGTTGGCTAGAATGCGATAATCACTAAATTGGCATTTCCGACATTGTGGCATGTCTCAAAACTGTTTTGTATAGTGGTTTTAGGTTTAGATTACAGTCGAATTATATCCTTTAGCACTGAATAATTTATACTTTCTTTGATTTGCAATTATCTGTAAGATCTATTTAATGAATAAAGCAAGAAGTATGATGTAAAAAAATAACTTATGCTTTCAGTTAGCATATTTTTTGCCCTTTCAATAATGTTAATAATAGATATTGTGGAATCTGTCTGACAATTCAAGATTTATAAATGTTGTTTATGTAGTTGATTCTTGTCACTGGGTGTAATTGTAGTATCATGTTACAACCTGGTATGGGTTTATTGCTTCTGTGTATATTAATGTCCTACATTTATTATCTCTATATTGTTTTATATTATCATTGACTACGTAGTGTTACCATACTATAGTACATCTTTTCTAACTGTTGCCTTTTCCGACTCCAGTGTCGGAACTTTTATCCCCCCTTTTTTTATTAAGTGCCTTGAACTCATTTTTAACCTTATATTTAATAATCTAATAGGTTTTTTTCTTTTAACACCTCCATGATTTTGTAAATCATTCACGTTTAGCTTATATATATATTTTTAGAATGGAACTTTTGAAACTTTAGCACTTTTTATTCCACTTTTTTGTTTATCTTACAATCTATGTTCCATGACATTTGTATTTTGAAGGTTTCAAAATTGTCAAAATACTAAATGATCTGATTAAGAATTTAGGTAAAAATAAGGGGCGCTTGGGTGGCTCAGTTGGTTAAGCGTCTGCCTTCGGCTCAGGCCGTGATCCCAGGGTCCTGGGATCGAGCCCCACATCGGGCTCCCTGCTCAGTGAGGAGTTTCCTTCTCCCTCTGCCCCTCACCCCACTTGTGCTCTCTCTCTCTCACTAGCTCTCTCTCTCTCTCTCAAACAAATAAATAAAATCTTGAAAAAAAGAATTCAGGTAAAATAATACTAAGGGATTATTTCTCTTGTTAGCCCTTAAAAATTACATAAATCGGGGCGCCTGGGTGGCTCAGTCGTTAAGTGTCTGCCTTTGGCTCAGGTCGTGGTCCCAGGGTCCTGGGATCGAGCCCCGCATCCGGCTCCCTGCTCAGTGGGAAGCCTGCTTCTCCCTCTCTCACTCCCCCTGCTTGTGTTCCTTCTCTCGCTGTGTCTCTCTCTGTCAAATAAATAAAATCTTAAAAAAAATTTACATAAATCAATTATAGATCATTTTAAGTTATACAATATTAGGTATGTTATTGATTTATGCAAATTACTTATTCATTAATATAAATTTATATTAGTATGTTATGAAGTTATTTATCTTAGACTATAGTTCTGGTGTCTTTTTTTTCTTAGATTTTATGGTTTTTGAAAATAGTGACTAGTGATGAGAAGAACAAACTAAGGAGGTGGAAAAAGAACATTGGGACATTAGGGGACAAAAAATTCTATTGTTTAACAGTTGGAGAACTTTGGCTACAAGTAAGAGAAACCCCATGCAACCATGGCTTAACCAAGTTAAAAGGCTTTTTTTCTCATGTCATAAGACTTCTGGAGGTAGGATGCTGCTGGCATTGCTTCTCTGGCTCAGTGACAGAGAGTTTAGGTCTGTATGATTCTCTGTGCCTTTCCTCATGGCACAGAATGGCTGCTCTAGCTCCAAATAGTGTATTGATGTTCAAAGCAGGAGGAGAGGGAAAAGGAAGGTGCCAGCCACATCTTTTCCTTTTATCAAGAAAGCAAAAGTTTTACCAAAAGCCTTCAGTATACTTTTCCTTACATCCTTTTATCATATGGCCACCTCTAAGTGGAAAGGAGGTTGGGAAAGTGGCCATTTAGCTTTTCCATCCCTTAAAGTACATGATGACAAGGGAGAGAGGCTTGGGAATGGATATTGCATTAACCAACCAAGGACCTGGCACAAGGAGCCTTCACAGCTCCCCTTCATCTTTCTTTTTGTATTGCTGTTTTTCTCCCCTTTTTCCTCCTCCTGAATTTACCGATCTCTCATATTCTTTCAATTACTGGTAGAAAAGTCCAAATTTCATATTAAAAAAAATGATTGAGTTCAGTACTGTGCTAAACACTTGATATACATAATTTCATTTAATACTTAAAATAATCCTACGAAACAGGTGTTCTATTTTCTTAAAAAAGATTTTATTTGTTTGTTTGTTTATTTATTTAGGGAGTGGGGAGAGAGGCAGAGAGAGAGAGAGAGAATCTCAAGCAGACTCCCCACTGAGCACAGAGCCTGACTCGGGGCTTGATCCCATGACCCTGAGATCATGACCTGAGCCAAAATCAAGAGTCAGATGGTCAACCAACTAAGCCATCCAGGTGCCCCGAAACAGGTGTTCTTATACCTAATTTTTATAGATGAGGAGATGGATGCTTGAAGAAGTTAAGTAATTTTCACAAGATCATCCAGCTAATATGTGGCAGAACTGGATTTCAAATTTCATCTTCCTTAATTTGAAACCCTTATTATTTTCTCTTCACAGTGCTTCCAGCTTTTGTCTGTTTGCCTTTAGGACATTTCCTTCACCATCTGAAGCTTAGGGACAATGTTCTTGTTAGTGGCATCATCTTTCTGCCTCTTCTAGAGAGCAGGATGTTTATCACAAGCTCAGAATTCACTTCCTTTAAAGATACCTTCCTCAAATGTTCTTATTCTTTCGATTTTTGACCCTTTAGCATTTATGACTTTATTTACTTATTTGAGAGAGAGGGAACATGGGCAGGGGCAGAGGGAGTGGGAGTGGGAGAGAGAATCTTAAGCAGGGGCTCAATCTCATGACCCTGAGATCATGACCTGAGCTGAAATCAAGAGTCAGATGCTTAACCAACTGAGCCACCCAGGAACCCAAGCCCTTTAGCACTTATACTTTATATATATTTTTTTAAGATTTTATTTATTTGACAGAGAGAGAGCACAAGCAGGTAGCGTCAGGCAGAGGGAGAGGGAGAAGCAGGCTCCCTACTGAGCAGAGAGCCTGACGTGGAGCTCGATCGCAGGCCCCTGGGATCATGACCCAAGCCAAAGGCAGACACCCAACTGACTGAGCCACCCAGGCACCTGCTTATACTTTATCTTAAACCTATTTATGTATTGCTCTGCTGTTGTATTCTGGTTTTATGTATATTGTTAGTTCATCTTCCAGATAGTGCCTGTTATATGACAGAAACACAGCACCGAACTTTCTGCTGTTGAGGGATTATTGGATGCAGGAAAGGTAGATGCAGTGGAATCTGCCTTTAAAGGTTCTTCACATAGACTGTGAGTTCCTTGAGAGTATGAACATGGATTCTATAGACAGTTTCGTCCCCTAGCTCCTTAATAATTTCTAAAACTCCAAACATCAAGGCACTCTTAGGTCTTTTTATGTATATCTGTCAATGAAACACCTAAAAATTAAAACGGGATAGATGTTTAGTAATTGAAGACATCATTAGTGACCCTCTCTACTTCTTCTAAGTCTCATCTCTCCTGTACAAAATATTCTTGGTTTTCTCATGTGGTGTGGTTTCCAGGCTCTTTATCATCTTTTTTCTCCTCTTCTAGCTTTGTTCCAGTTTGTTGAAGCCTTTTATGAAATGTGATACCCAGGGAAGCACAGTATATTCTATTAGGGCCTGATTTAGAGCAATCGCTTCCTCACTTCTCTTGTTTTGGATCCTGTTCCTTACAACGTTGCTTGGTGTTTGAACTTTGGTGGGGAGCAGTGGGGAGTCAAGAGGAGAGGGAGTTTGTACTTTTTTTTTTATAGACTTGTCACACTTTCATTTCATTTTGAGTTCACAATGAACTAAAAGTTCTTAATCTTTTTCATATGTGCTACAATTAGTTTATTCTCTTCTATCCTACATTAGTTTTGGGGAGTACAGGTGAAGAATTTTATATTTTATCCCATCATCCTAGTTGTCAGGATCTTTTAAAATACTAACTCTCACTCTTAGTATTCATACTTTTTTTTCCCCTGAAAGATTTTTTTTAAAGTAATCTCCACACCCAATGTGGAGCTCAAACCCACAACCCCAAGGTCAAGAGTTGCATGCTCCACCAACAGAGCCAGCCAGGTGCCCCCCTCCTATAAACACTTTGATTAAATCATAGTTAAATATTAATCTAAAATTAAGGACCAAATTAAAATTTTTCAGTGGTTATGTCTTCTTGTTAAATGTTTAGATGACAATTTGACATACTTAATTTTAAAATGAAAATAATAATTAAATGTTATATATATATTTTTATAAATCAACAGACATCAAAATTTACAAGTTCTTCAGATATTCCAGTAGAATTTATACGAAAGAATGTTAAACTACGTGGACGATTACGCCGAATAACTGAGAATGGTTTAGAAATTGAGCATATTCCTATCACTTTACCTATTATATCTTCATGGAAAAGTAAGTAAAGTGCAAGACTAATACAAGTATTTTAGTATTTGTTAATTAGAAGTTATTTGTAAAATAGCAAAAAATGTCATTTTAAGTTTTAATAACTTTGTGAGAAAAGTATAAACTCTTGGCTTTAAATACGAGGAACTATTTAATTTGGCTCCAGATTTCCTTTTTTCCCCCCTTCCTCCTTTTATTCAACCATTCAGTATTTCATTCAGGCGTTCATGAATTCTTTCCACAAATATTGAGCAACTGTTATGTTCTAGGCCCTATACTAGCTGTATGGTGTTGAGGGAAACAGACAAGACTGCCCTTTGGAGCTTACAGTCTAAGTGGAAAATAGACAACAGACAAATGAAGATTGTCCTAAAAATTATGAAGAAAAGGAGCAAAGTGCTAGTTTGAGCATTAGTGGAGTCATGTGAACAGGGAACCTACAGCTCTAAAGTGGTCAGAGAAAGCCTCATTGATGAGTTGTTATTTAATCAGAGACCTGAAGAATGAGAGAGGGCTGGCTAGGCAGAGGGTGTGTGGGAATGAACTTGGCCCCTTTGACAAGCCATATGAAGACTGGTAGGGTGCTGTGGCGTGCGGAAGAAGGGGACAAGAGACACCAAAGGAGACTGGAGAGCTGAGCAAGGGCTGGATGTTTCCTGCTGCTATTCCCATGTCTCCCTGCTTTGTGTCAAAGACCCCACCCACACAGACCTTCCGGCCTGCTGTTTGCTTGGGTTCTCATGCCCTGGAGCACAGTTTCCCCAGAGTGCCTTGCTCCTATTGAACTCCAGTTCTTTAGTATCCAGCTCAAATGTCAGCTCTTCTGTGAAGCTTTCCTTAACTCCCAAGCAGAATTAGCCTCTTTCTTTACTACACCCACACCAAGTTATACACACTGCGGTTACAGTACTTAAACACATTTTCCTATAATCATGTGTTTAGGCTTGTATCCTCCCACTAAACTGAGCGTCTGGTGGGCAGGGACCTTTTCCTACCTAGCTCATTATTCACAGTCCCTAGGGAAATAATTGTTAGCCAATTAAAACTTGTTGAATAAATTTAGTTATATTTAAAGATCTTCTTAATATTGTTTTAATTTTATAAAGAAAGGAGTTCTTATTTTTTACCCTCAAATGAATGAATATCATGAATGAATATCCTGTTCAACGAGATATGACTGTGAAGGAATCAGATTGATTTTTTTTCCCCAGACATACCTGACATGATTGATTCTTTTAACAAATCAAACAGAACTTAAACACTTTGAATGACTATTGTTCCCTAAAGAGAGATTACCTAGGATGTTTATTTGCTGGGCATTTCAATCTAAGCAGGATTTAGACTTCATAAATCCTCTACCTTCTCAGTTGAATCTCTCCTCTCTGAAATAGTGATGACTCTTCAGGGCTCAGGCAGCAAAGTCACTCCCTGGGTTTGTCCAGGCTGTACACTACACGACTCTGGGATGCTAGTCAATAGGAACCTGCTTCTGGAGGTCATGCAGTGACACAGCACTGTAAATTGCCATATATGCATATTATTATTAATGGCTTCTCCATCCTGTTCTGGAGTTTACTTTGAAATGGGTTTTTTACATTATTCCATCTGTTACATGCTTGGGTTGCTTTAAAAGAAAACTTGAATACAGATATAAATGGACCTACATCTAGAGAGTCTGGGTGTTGTAAAGAAACAATATATTCAGTTGTTTGGGAGAGGGGACATGTGACTTTGAAGTTTGCTTTTGCAACATGGTATTAAAGCTAGACAATTTTCTACCTAACCTTTTTAGAAGAGCCATGTGGTGTTTTGCTGGTTAAGCTGGCAGGAGTAGAACTCACTGAAACTGGGAAGGTGTGGTTACAAAAAGAGTTAAAACCTTCCCAACTGTTATGGTTTCAACTTCTTGGAAAGGAGAATTCAGTACTCTTTTGCTATCTTCTAGTGAATAAGGTAAGTAGAGTGAAGAAATAATGAGCAATATTTTATTCTTTTTATTTATACACAAACATCATTAATTAGAACCTTGAATCTGCAATGTGACTAAATTTTTGTCTCTCTTAACTGCTATTCATAGTGATCATGTATAGAGAACCAGGTGTTTCATATATACATTTTGTTATTAAATTTTATTCATATGTTTATTATAGAAAAAATGAAAAATTTAAAAAATGGAAGAAACTTAAAATTATTAATGACTTTGGACATTGCTCACTTAAGGATTATCTTTACACATTTACTTACACATGAGTATAGTGTATCACCCTTGTTATTAGAAACTGCTTGTTGAGTGAGCCCTGTCAACCGGAAACTACAAAGAGCAAGGGTGTTTTCTGAAGTAAATAGTGCTCAGTCTCTGAACTCTAAAGTCGAGCATTTTTAAATCCTGTTTATGATCAGTAATCAGTCATCTGAAGATTTTGCCTCAGAGTTTTCCTACCATTATGATTGACCATGGCCATTGTGTAACTGGGGATGCCATGGAGCTTCATCAGTGTTGCCGTGTCTCTGTTCTGAGCCCTTGCGTGAGCCTTACTTCGTACTGCTTTTGGTGGACGATTACTGAAAAAAGAATGTAGAAAACTAAATAGGTAAAGTGTTATGACAGGATTAAGAACAGTTTTCTTATTCTTAAAGTCCCTTATCAAACAAAAATAACCTGAAGAAAAAAATAACCTCACGTTAAAGTGATTAAAATTGTAACCATTTTAATTCTTTAGAGCTTTTTGAACTATTAATAGAAAGCCTGATGAAACCCATTAATTTCTGTATGTCCAGATCATATTCAGTGCTTTCAAAGTAAGAATTATCCAACACTGATTGGTTGAAGTGTTTTACAGTGAAAAGTAAGCTGGTAATACAAAATAAAGATGCCAAAGGCCTTATAAAAATATTACCTTCTCGGGCCACCTGGGTGGCTCAGTCGTTAAGCGTCTGCCTTCGGCTCGGGTCATGATCCCGGGTCCTGGGATCGAGCCCCGCATCAGGCTCCCTGCTCGGCGGGAGGCCTGCTTCTCCCTCTCCCACTCCCCCTGCTTGTGTTCCCTCTCTCGCTGTGTCTCTCCCTGTCAAATAAATAAATAAATTCTTTAAAAAAAAAAAAATCATCACCACATATAAAAAAAAAAAAATATTACCTTCTCTGGGCACCTGGCTGGCTCAGTCAGTGGAGCATGTGACTCTTGATCTTGGGGTCATGAATTAGAGCCCCACGTTGGGTGTAGAGATACTTAAAAATAAAAAAATTTGGGTGCCTGGGTAGCTCAGTAGGTTAAGTGTCTGACTCCTGATTTCTGCTCAGGTCATGATCTCAGGATCATGAGATCGAGCCAGGCATTGGGCTCAACACTCAGCAGGGAGTCTGCTTGAGATTCTCTCCTTCTCCCTCTGTCCTTCCCCCTGCTGGCCCATGTGTATGAGTGCTCTCTCTCTCAAATAAATAAGTCTTCTTTGATGAGCAGGGGCCAGCAGGGGGAGGGACAGAGGGAGAAGCAGGCTCCCCACTGAGCTGGGAGCCTGACACGGAGCTCATCCCAGGACTCTGGGATCATGACCTGAGCCTCAGGCAGATGCTTAACTGACTGAGCCATCCAGGTGCCCGCTAAATAAAATCTTTAAAAATAAATAAAATAAATTATAAATAATAAAAAATAAAAATTAAAAAAAATTTTAAAAAATTAAAAAAAATTCTAAGTTGAGAAGTATATTTTGTTTATCCTCAAAACCATCCTATGCAGTCATTGTTTTTATTCCCATTTACAGATGGGACTCAGGGTAACTAAGTGGAAGAGCCTGTATTCAACCCAGCTCTTTCTGGCTCCTGAGCTCATACTTCGCCTTATATACTTTAGCTTATATTGCTTCCTAGGTGACCAAACTATGCAGTATATGCACACGGTGGTAATTTACATCTGTTGAATTTTACTAATGTGTGAGGTTGAATTTTAGTTATTCTGATTTTGGTTTAAGGGAATGAGCTCTTAAAATTTAAAAGATTGAGAAAAATATGATAAATCCTTTAAGACTGTATTTATTAACTCATTATTATAACCAAAAGTTACTGCATTTAAGGGAAAAAAGGTTACTTCGTTCCTTCAGAAAGTCCTAAAAAATGTCTCCTACTTGAAACCTGGAGTTTTCACATTTTTAAAATTTAACTGTGAAGTACTTGACTAACAAAGCTATTAAATTATTAATATGTTGTTAAAATTAATCTTGTTAGGTTAAAATCCCACAAGGACTATATAAACAGCTAAGCAGGATCTCTTTTTTTTTTTTTATTTTAAGATTTTTAAAAATTTTTAAGTAATCTGTACACCCAACATGGGGCTCAGACCCACAACTCCAAGATCAAGAGTCTCAGGTCCGCTGACTGAGCTATAAATTAGTGGGAAAAAATCCCACTTACCCAGTTTGATTAGGAAGTGAGGTTTTCCTTGAAGGAAATTTCCTGAAGGATGAAGATTCAAAGTCCAGGACTATTTTTAATGTTAATTATTTTGTGGGAAGTCTTTTAAAAATGTATTTACATGCCAGCATCTTCTTACATGCTGGAATTCTGAAGCCTAATCTAACAGTTCAGTGATGATTCAGTTCAATCTGCATTTGTATACTTTTTAGTTTCTTTTTCTATGGCCTTCTGTTGTTTTGCCTATCCTGTGTGCTCCTTTCCCCCTCCAAACAGCAAACAAACCAAAAACACTTTTTATACTTTACTACTTCTACTTCTCTTTGGGTTAGAAGACCAGTGAGTCTGTGGAGAAACGATATGTTACAAAAGAAGCAATTAAGAGGCGTCTGGGTGGCTCACTGGGTTAAGCGAGTACCCTCTGCTCAGGTCATGATCTCAGGGTCCTGTGAATGAGCCTGGCTTTAGGCTCCCTGCTCAGCAGGGAGTCTCCTTCTCTCTCTTCCCCTCCCCCTGCTCATGCTCTCTCTCTCAAATAAATAAAATCTTAAAAAAATAAAAATAAAAGAGGGAATTGACTTCGAATAAGGATCTCTTCTAGTAATGAAATTCTTGGATTTAGCGTTAGCTGTTTTAAGCTCTTGGAGATCCCTTTGCTTTATGTTTTTTGGCTTTTCTCTGAAAGATAAGTTGCTGAATGACTGATTTATTTATTTATTTTTAAGGATTTTATTCATGTATTTATTTTAGGGAGAGAGAGAGAATGCCTGGGGGAAAGGGAGGGGCAGAGGGTGAGGGAGAGAGAGATAATCTCGCACAGACTGTGCACTGAGCACAGAGCCCACCGCGGGGCTGGTATCATGACCCTGAGATCATGAGCTGAGCCAAAATCAAGAGTTGGGCACTTAACCCACTGAGCCACCCAGGCGCCCTTCTGAATGACGATTTAATTTAAGTAAATAAATAAATTTTAAAGTGAAGAAGATGTTACAGGTATAGTGCAATTTTCTTTAGTAATTGGTTTGTGTTATTTTTTATTCAAGGGTAGATTTTTTAGTGTGAGTCTGAATGAAGAAATTTTGAGAAGAGGCCTTGGCAAAACTGTTCTTGTTGAAGGGCTAGATTATGATTCTAAAATCTACTGGACAATTCACAGAAACTTACTTAAAGCCGAATTAACAGCCTTAAAAAAAAGAGAAGGAATATGGAAGGAAGAATCTGAAGAAAGTTATTTGGAAAAATTCAAAGGCTCCTGGAGAGAAATATGGAAAAAAGACAGTTATTTTAAAAACATTGGATCAGATTTCAATTTGAAAAAAGAAGGTTATTATGACAAATTTAGAAGGACTTATGAAACATGGAAAGACAACATAAATAACTACTCCTTAATACTGAAATTCAGAGAACTTATGAATCGCATACACTTTCGTAGAAAAGGGTGAACTATTCCAAGAGGTCTGGAGGTGACCCACTCAGAAAAGAGTAAAATATGTAAATATATGGATGTTTTTCATTGAGTTGAAGTGGAAATTTCTCTGAATGATCGAAGTTGCACTCTAATGGTATTTAAATATTTAAGAGATGATTGTTTTAAATGTAGTATCAGAATAATTTAAGCAAATTGTGATTAATGTAATATGGTTTTAGGAAAAATTGAATACTCAATAAAGTTACCAGGATAAAGGATGTGTACCTTTAGTGTTAATATTTGAAGAGAGAGTTTAACTATTGGGCACTGTTATTGTAGTTATTTTCGGCATCCATATTTAATTTTTGTTGAAAGAGAGTATTTGTTTACTTTTCCAGTTTTATCAATTTTGATTACTTGTAATAAACTAACTCTGTACACATCATGGCTGAGGCTACTTTCTTCGCCTGATTGCTTTCTAACTGCCTAACAGTGTGGGGCAAAGCTCCATGAGAAGGTCACTTAAACCATTTCTAGTAATAAAGAACGGCTAATTTCTACCTGTTGTTAGATGAAGGGGATAACCCTCCAGACAGAACCATGAGGATAACTCTAAGGACGGAAAGCAATGTGCTGAGGGTGGCATCAACCAAAAAGAAAGTACAGGGATGCTTCAGACATTGTTGAGCCCCTAAAGTAGCCAATCTTTGAAGTATCTTGTGTCCCAGTTCCTCATGTGACATGTAAATTTCTTTGTTTTTAAAGCCAGTTTGAGTTCGTTTGAGGATCTGATATACACATATATTTGCTGCTAAAATCATCCTAACACTACAAGCTTCTCTTATAACACCAGCGATAATCCACTAACATCCACAATGTCTATAGAAGGTTTTCTTAATGATTTATGATGCTGACAAAAGTCAGAGGTTCCACGTGGTCTAAAGAGCTGACTACTGTTAGAATCAGTAATTCATCATGAGAAGCTTATTGCTGCTTCCTGACTGCTGGTGAAAACGTAAAGTAGATTTCCCAACATTTTCTAATTAAACAACATTAATTTTTAGTAAGGTCTCAAATCTTCCACAGGTTCTTGTTCTTGTGATTTTATTTCATCACTTTTGGGGTAGGATAGGATGTTACATCCTAGCTTTTATCCCCTGGGTCTAATGCCTCAATAGCTTTTCTCTTTGTTTTAAGGGGATGTTCTATCTTTATTGACAGAGAAGTTAACAGAGTACATTTAAAACTAGTTCTGTGGCAAGCTCGTGGGCCTGCTTCTTTCCCAGTTTGCCTCCCAGTGATGTCGGATCTCATCACAGTTACCACTGTAATCAGTTCTGATGACCTCTGCCAACGCAGTTGGTGCACCACTGTCTTTCCAGATAAGCTGTGTGAAGGTGAAGCTGGTGCAGGTCTTTTTGTGGACTAGATGAAATGACTTGTTCTAACCTTTGCCTTGATTATTTAGCAGGAAAACCCTGATTTTATGGACAAGGTGGACAAGAAGAAAAATAGACCAGCGGAACTCCTGTTGTGTGCAGTCACCATTTACTGAATATTCTTGTTCTCCACTTAGGTAGTAGCAGTATTAACATGTACTTGAAGGTTAGGAGGAATCCCATTGGCCAGCAGCTTTCTTCTGGGTCAACAATGTCTGTTTTTCTGGCTTTTGTCTCTGGTCTCTCTTGTAGATCAGCTTGTTTGATGGTCCAAGGGCAAGGTGAACTATACAGTTACAGAGGCTAGATCTTTATTATATGAGACAGTTATAATAAAGTCATCTGAAAAAGTAGAAAATTCCCTTTTAGGCTGAATTTCTGACCAAAGCCTGAGTTCTTTGCCTTTCTCAAATAAAGGATTTACTTCTTGGTCTCTTATCTTCAGAACAACAGGGTCTATGAATCATGGAACACTACATCAAAAACTAATGATGTAATGTATGGTGATTAAAATAACAATAAAAAAAGTAAAAAAAAAAAAACAGGGTCTATGACTGCCTTTTTCCCTTGGCCTTCTTTCCTTTTGGTATCTTGGGTATCTAGACCCCTTTACTTTTTTTTTTTTTTTAAAGATTTTATTTATTTGACACAGAGAGAGAGACATAGCAAGAGAGGGAACACAAGCAGGGGGAGTGGGAGAGGGAGAAGCAGGCTTCCCGCCGAGCAGAGAGCCCGATGCGGGGCTCGATCCCAGGACCCTGGGATCATGACCTGAGCCGAAGGCAGACGCTTAACGACTGAGCCATCCAGGCGCCCCTAGACCACTTTACTTTTTAAATATATTTCTATCGGGTGCCTGGGTGGCTCAGTTGGTTGGGCGACTGCCTTCGGCTCAGGTCATGATCCTGGAGTCCCGGGATCGAGTCCCTCATCGGGCTCCCTGCTCAGCGGGGAGTCTGCTTCTCCCTCTGACCCTCCCCCCTCTCATGTGCTCTCTCTCTCATTCTCTCTCTCAAATAAATAAATAAAATCTTAAAAAATAAATTAAAAATAAATATATTTCTATCAAATAAATTTAGTTCTTACTGTTTTTTCTAAATGATTGGATTCTAATGGCCCCTTTCAATATATTTTCTTTCAAGACTCACATTTCCTTTTTTGTGTTTTATTAATTTGTCATTTTCCAGTCATACTTCTTATATGTGAAATGTTGACAGCAACACTAGCTTTATCATAATTAATTGTGAACAAAACTTGAGAGAGAGTGAAAACTGTGCCCATACATATATGATCCAGCATTGTCATTATTTGGCAGCTAAAAGTATATTCCAACAACACCCAGAGAGAGAAAACATACAACCAAAGTCTCCTTACATTTTGCTTTCCTTGTGTTGACATGTGTTAGTTTCATTCATGAGACAGATGTCCAAATGCTGGTTCTTCTCTAACACATTTGGTCATGGTTATTCCTTGAGGGTTCTCTGGGGGCTCCCTATCATAGTCCCCTGGATTGAAAGATTCTTACCTCTTTCTCTCCCTACCTGCTTAACTCCCAAGGCAGTTTGTTTGTTTGTTTGTTTGTTTGTTTATTTATTTATTTATTTATTTATTTAATTTTTTAAGATTTTATTTATTTATTTGACAGAGAGAGACATAGCGAGAGAGGGAACACAAGCAGGGGGAGTGGGAGAGGGAGAAGCAGGCTTCCCGCCGAGCAGGGAGCCCGATGTGGGGCTCGATCCCAGGACCCTGAGATCATGACCTGAGCCGAAGGCAGACGCTTAACGACTGAGCCACCCAGGCGCCCCCCCAAGGCAGTTTAGTCCACAGCCTTTTACTGTTGGATCCCCACCACCAGGGATGGCAAGGACACATGAGTTTAATTGTGGAACGTGACTGGGCTTAATCACTCCATTCATGGGTATGTGTTGTGGGGAGTATTAGCAAGTCAGCTTCAGTCCTGCCACTTTCCATGGTGTCAATTCACCTTACAGGAAGCTTGTGCATTTTTTTTTTAAAGATTTTATTTATTTGAGAAAGAGCGCTTATGCACATGCACGAGTGAGTGGGAAGAGGGACAGAGGGAGAGGGACAGCAGACTCCCTGCTGAGCGGGGAGCCTGATGCTAACATAGGGCTTCATCCCAGGACCCTGAGATGACCTGGGTTGAAGTCAGCCACTCAACTGAGTGAGCCACCCAGGTACCCTGGAAACTCATGTATTCTTAAACTAAGTGGTAGGGATGTAAGCTATTCACCAGCCACTCTCTCTCTTTTGCTTCCCTCTTTTTATCATGCTTCTTTCTCCTTATCTCAGGTAAATGAAGTACTAGAAGGCTCTGTAGCTTAGCAAACATCAGAAAAGAGATAATCACTATTCCCTAACTTAGTGGAAACAGGATATATGGCACCCTCAGTCTAGTAGAAAAGGGAGTGAAGTGCTAATTTCAAATCTTCCTCCCCTGGGTGAACAGGAGAGAGAAGGGATGGTTGCTGCTCCACAAATTCTAACTGTTCAACTCTTCCTTATTTCAAGCCCTCTTATACATTTTGGTCCTGAAATCTTCTAAATCAGCTTGGTCTTTCCCACCACTGGGAAAGCCTGGGGAATCTGCTGCCAGAAATGCAATTTTTTATTTTTATTTTTTTTAAAGATTTTATTCATTTGACAGAGAGAGACACAGCAAGAGAGGGAACACAAGCAGGGGAAGCGGGAGAGGGAGAAGCAGGGGAAGAGGGAGAGGGAGAAGCAGGCTTCCCGCTGAGCAGTGAGCCTGATGCGGGGCTCGATCCTAGGACCCTGGGATCATGACCTGAGCTGAAGGCAGATGATTAATGACTGAGCCACCCAGGTGCCCCCAGAAAAGCAATTTTTAAAAAACACCTGACTCAAAGAAGAATCAGGGCCACTGATCTCAATAGTTCTGCTATCTCTTGATATGGAACCAAGGCAAATGAAAAAAAAAATGAAATTTTCTTACTACTTACAGCCCATTGACAAGTCCTTGAAACAGGCAGGGTGACATTCCTCTAGGAACTCAGCTGCCTCCCTGTTAATACTTTGCTAAGGGCAAAAGGCAATCTTGGCTTAACATTATCCCGACCTCTGGGATCCTGTAAGACTTCTTTAACATAAAAAAATTCCTTTAACTTCCCTTATCTCTATCCCCCAAGATATATGTTGGCAATCATCCCCTAAGCATATGGTCCACTGATACACATCTGAAGGGTCTCATGACTAAGGTTTTACTAGACAGTAATAAATGCCCTTTTCCTAACAATGGCTAACCCCCTCAAGGTCCTGGAAACCTTGCTTCCAAAATTCCCTATAGACTTACAATGGCCCTAACCCCCTTCCCACCTTGAAAGTATATAATCACCACCCCTCACAACCCTAATGCAGCTCTTTCTGCCCAGGGGTCCTGCCCCTGTGCTTTAATAAAACCACCTTTTTGCACTGAAGATAGCTAAGAATTCTTTCTTGACCGTTTGCTCCAAACCCCAATAGGTCCTCATCATCTCTCATTTATTCCTGCTCTTTCAGGTGACTCTGAGAATAGTAAAGATCCCAGCCAGTACCTCACACCGACCTGGTACATTTGCAAAACCCGCTTAGGAGAATTAACCACATCTGAGGCAAACAGATAATGTGCTAAAAGTTTTATCTTCTTCTGGATTTCTCCAGCATCATTTGGTTCCTCACCAAGGTGAAGTTTGTAGGGGGAAGGAAAAATAATTTTCCCTCTACTCTTCTAGGTTCTTGGCTGAGACACACCTATAATAAAAAGACAGATTAATAGAAGAAAAACAGAATTTAATAACATGTATACCTCCTGTATACCCGGGAGATACCAAGGAAAACTGAGTAACTCCCCAAAATGGCCTAAGCCATCCCCTCAAATAACAGCTCCAGCTAAAGACTAGAAGATGTTGGGGGATGGGGAGGCCAGTTATGAGAAGTTACCCTGAAAAGCCCAGTAAACAAGGGTAAGGTGGTTATGCAG